GTGCTAAGGGAGCTCCTGAAGTGGCAGTAGCATTTAATGCTGGTTGTTCAGCTTTGGCATGTAGTCCTTAGTTTCATGCAAGACATTTTGGATGTCTGTTCTGTCTGCAAAAAGTAGGTGCAGGCTAGAGCAGAGTCAAGAAGTTCCCCTATGAACTATTCAGTCTGAGTCATGATTTTTGTTGACTTACAAGCCAAGAAATTCTTGAAGCATAAGGGCTATGTTGATGCTGGCACTAAAGTAGTGGGAGTTATGTATGTAAAAGGAAGTTATGAAGAGCCAGCTATCTATGCATGAGAAGATGATGATGATCCCATGAATTCTCAGAAACACCACCACTACTGCCATTTGCTTGCAAAAACCCATGATGTGCTGAATAGAGATAGGCTGAGAAGAACCTTGAAATAAAGGAAGTTGAAAGGACAGGTTTTGGAGATAAGTAAGTAAACATCAGTCAGATCTATTGTAGCAAACCAGTCTTCTTGAGACAGGTGGAAACAATGATGAGAGTGGAGAAATCCTGAATTTCTTTAGGCAGATGTAGCAACTAATGCCTTGAAGGTCTTTTAGGGAATGTAAAATGCCTGGAGAAGAAATCAGTGGTCAGCACGGATAGAACTTTCTTTCCAGATAAATCCATTTTTTCACCTATAAAGCCCTTAACGGCTTGGGACCTGGTTATCTAAAGGAGTGCTTGCGTCCATATCTGCCCTCCCGCCCCTTGAGATCGGGGCAGAGGCCCTTCTCCGGGAGGGTGAGCACCTGGAGGAGGGCCTTCTCTGTGGTGGCGCCCCACTTATGGAATGTGCTCCACCTGGCGCTGTTATTTGTTTTTTGGCACCAGGCCAAGACCTTTTTATTTAAACGTTATCTTAATTGTTGAACTTATTCATCGATTTTATTTCTATGCTGGATGTCTCCAGATTTTTAATGCAATTGTATAGTTATTTATTTGTATTGGAAGCCGCCCTGAGGCTTTTGCAAATGGGGCGGCATATAAGTGTTCCAAATAAATAAATAAAATAAAATAAATTTATGGCAAAGGTCACCAATACACTCCCAGTGACACCCAATATCATGTCCATGTGCAGTCAAAATCTGTGTTTTGTTTTTAATTTTTTAAAAAACATCCCTGGATGGATTTGTACATAAATTAGCAATTATATATGGGTTTCCACAAAAGGGGACCAAATATCCAAATACCTGCATCTAAAGTTGATATCCAGGTGCTATCTGTTCATGTATCAACAGTGTTGTAAGATCCTCAATCCAATGCATTACAGAAGGTAAGTGTTGATGTTGTGCTGCTTTATCAAACACAGATTGAAAGGGGCACTCCATGTACTAGCTGAGCATTGCCAATAAGAAAGTTTGGAAATTAACTACTCCAAAACCAAAGTTGTGGTTTTTCCCAAGTACCCTAAGATGCATGTTTGGTGACAAAATAACCATCTAATAGATTAAGTTAAATCCTTCAAATACCTGGGGATTGTCTTCCATGCTTTGGGTAACCATAAATCTCATGCTAATTATGTCATCTTCAACACACAAAAATCAGTGTTGACTTTACAAACTTTTTATTTCTCCAAAGGAGCACAGCATATACCCACAGCAATTAAAGTCTTCTCAGCTAAGATATGAGCCCAGCTCCTGTTCAGAGCTCACTTGGGACCCTACAGGCCTATTCTTCCATTGGAAAGAATCCAGTCCAAGTTCTTGAGAATCATCTTTCAAGCACCTCACTGCATTTCAAATATGGTCCTTCAACATGAAGCTGACCTCCTTAAAATTGAAACTTCAGATATCAAAAAATTCCCTTTGAACAGAGAGTGTCTCCATGTGGGGAAGAAATAATTGAATCACTGGAACATGTTATTCTTTATTGCCCTCTCTATGCAGGTGCTCGCCAGGACTTGTTATTCCCACTCTCTTCTAAATATCCTGGTCATTCTGATCCTTTTTATCTTAGGATGCTTTTATCTAATTTTATCTCTTTGACCACAGCCAAGTACTGTTCAATAGTTTGTACAGTCCACTGTAGAATCAACTGTAAATGTTGGTAGCCTTTTATTAGAATAATTGCATTTTTCCTTATCTTAATTAACTGTAATTTTAGAATTACTGTATTTTCCTTATTTTAACTAATTATAATTTTGTATTTTATTTGCTGGTCAATGACCAAATAAGGAATTGATTGATTGATAGGAGGTAAGTGTTTATATTTCTAATTTTGTAATATCAGACTTTTAGCTGTTAAAGGAGTGCAGGGAATCCATCTCCCCTCCCATTTGTTACCTTGCATGAAACAGGTAAATAGTTTAAAAGAGCATGTGCATCCATGAGCATTTAAGACTTACCTGTACAAAATGTATCCATGTAATAACCTCTTCTCCAAAAGAAGCTATTACTTACTGTAAATGAAGCATTTGCCATAATGCACTGCCAGCAATTTGCTGAATTTGAAAAATGCTCATTAAAGAGGCACTGCAATGTCCAACAGATGAAACAACTTTGTTGAATAAGGCACAGGCTAAAATCCAGAGTTATGACAGGTAGACGCCAAAGTGATTTACTGATTAGGCATTTTGTGCTGGTGCCCACAGCAGTTTCTCAAATTCCCAAATGTTGCCACAAGTCCAGAAGAGTCAGGGACACCAAATTAGGGCAATGAACAAGCTCTACATTCTTTGGCAGCCACTATCCAAATGCCCTAAGTTGCCTATCCCTATAATGCAATGAAAAGGAAGGAATCTGACTGAATGCACACACACCACCACCACTACCAAGAACTAATAGCCATGGAAGGCATTGTATGTTCTTTTATCATCAAAAGTTACAACCAGAAACTTCATTAGGATGAATATCACAAGGTAGATAGGGATGAACATCTGCATTTGTTTCACACATCAAAACTTGCTTACATGCATGACTTTCTCTCACAGAATCAGAGCAAAAGCATCGTTTATTACATTTACTTCTATTTCTGAAATTATCTACAGGTAGTTTGGATGATCCTTCCTATCACAGAACAGTTATCAGTATAATTCAAAAGAGTGTTCCAGAACCATCTCAGAAAGCCATTATAGGTTATTTTGAAATAATTACTCCAAGTAAACACAAATCTCACTGAAAAATTAAAATTAAAAGATCCTATAATACCCTAAGCATAATCATGACCATCTGCTTTAAGCCCTCAAACTTCCAATCTCTAGTGTTTCAACTTAATCAACATTTCTTATTTCTTTAGTTTCTTCTGTCCTAATTCTCTCAAAAATTAAGTGAGGCCAGAAGAATGGCAGGACAGCTGAGCTTGCTCATAAAATTCACTATTGAATTTTATAGTTCAAAGATGAACTCCCTACATCTTTATGAAGAATGGAAACATTGTAAAACAATCCCCTCTTCTCATACCAGGTATCACAGTCAATTTAGTTATAACTCCCTTCCAGTATATCAAAAGTTGTTGAAAGATTCAAGTTTGATTAAAATTTATCAATCCTTTATTCTCTCACAAACATCAGTGGATCTTTTAAACAGATACTGCTTACAAGGATATGATTTTTCTTATTCATTTACACATCTATATTCATACATTAAAATAAACCTTATACCAAGCAGTTTCAGATCAATTTACACATTACCTTTGTGTGACAAGTGGTAATTATACATTACCACTTGCTGTGACAAAGCTGTTTTGCTGTTGTCTGCTCCCTCATTGAGGCATCCCACAGCGATTAATAAATACATTGCAATGTGGGTTGCCCTTGTAATGTGGGTAATTCGCACAATAGGGAAAGTGGCAGTGGGCTAAAGGAGAAAAAACAAATAGCTCCATAGATAGGATGGGCTGGTCTCCAGAAATCCAGTGTCTGAATTTGGCCCATTTCAGATTCTATCATACTCCACCATTACAATTGCATGCATGGTAACCCGCTGAAGCAATCAGATGTAGAAGACCCAAGCCATGAGATACAAAGAATACTTTACTGCTAAGCAAAATTCTAAAATATTTCAAACAGTTCTTCAGGGGAAACTGAAGTTGATCATATCTCAATGTATCAAGCTGAGATTTGCAGACATTCCCCCAAAAATACAACCCCTTTGCATGAGATGTGATTAAACCAATAAGTATCTAACAGCAGTTTCTTGTTTTTCTGAACCAGGAACTACAGTTACCAACTTCTGAACAGGACATGTTATGATCAAATTCAAACTAGTATATAATCTCCAGGATTGCTCTGAAGTTAGCAAACTTAGTATATTAGCTCAAATTAAACTGACAGCTATGGTTAGGGGTTTCTGAGTCCAACTGCTGCATGCCTTGTGTGGGAAAAGGCTTGCACAAATCCTAAAAGGCTTGCACAAATCCTAACAATCCTAACACGGTAACATACAGACACTAGAGCATGGCCTCTGTAAGATTTCTTAGGTACCTTTGAACAATGCAAATTTTCAGGGTCTTAATGCTGCTTTCTGCTATCAAGAGCAAACCTGCTTCAGGAGCTAAGTCCAGAATTGGCTCCAACTCAATTTGCTCAGAAGAAGAAACTGAATTCTTCTGTTAAAAATACATAAAGCAGCTAAATGGGCAACTGAGGTCCCCTAACCTGATGCTCCTTTCAGTGGACAGAGAAGGCATGACAGAGATCACAGGTTACTGCATAACCTGGCCTGTCCTCTCCCTTCTCCACCCACCAGTGTGCCCTGTTTTCTCCATCTCTTTTCAGCCTTTGAATTATTAAAAAAAATGTTTGGACTCTACTATTATGCCTTGTCATGGGTTTTAGATTTTATCCTTATTTTAATTATATACTTTATGATTTGAACTTTTACTGTTAGAAGCTGAAAGAGTCAGTCTTCATTGAATGTTACATAAAGATTAGAAAGAAAGACAGACCTTCCAATCTGGATTTAAGAGACCTATCTGGCTTGGTATAAACAGCATACTACTAAACAGACATTCCTTGCAGAATTTTGTAGAACCTGCAATTGATTCTTACCTTGTCTTGGTTAGCCTTATTCTTGTAACATAAATTTCCAATTAAACGAATTAGATGTGCTTTAAAGCCCACAGCTGGGTGAGACTTTTGCTCTTGCCCTGTTGCAGAATGAGTCGCTGTGAAGATGTTTGTGTTCTGTTTCCCAGAAAGATGTACAAGTTGCAAAGTATCTATTCATTAATAATTATAGAGAACAAATAATTATAGAGAACATTATAGAGAACATTATAAAAGTTTTTTAAAAAATAAGTATCACAGACATTATAATGGTGATTAAGTTTTATTCTGCAGTTATCAACAGCTAATTTAAAAGGGAATTCATTTGAATCCTACTGCAGCTGAAAGAAACATTAACATCCAGAATACTCTGAATAGTAGAATAAAAAGGAAGGGTAGCATGTGAGTATATGATATTTCTCCTGGATCATGTTCCCCAGCAGAGGACATACAGGAGTATCCTGCCGTGCATAGCAGAGGCAATATAGCCTCATGATTAGTAGCCACTGGCAGCCTCCATAAATGTATTTAAGCCCTTCTTAAAGTTGTACAAGGGATGCGGTGGTGCAGTGGGTTGAGCTGCTGGGCTGGTTGACAGAAAGGGTGACAGTTCAAATCTGCAGATGGGGTGAGCTCCCGTACTCTGTCCAAGCTCCTGCCAACCTTGCAGTTCAAAAGCATGCAAATGCAAGTAGATAAAAAGGTACCACTTTGGTGGGAAGCTAATAGCGTGTTCCATGGACTTTGGTGTTTAGTCATGCTGGCCACATGACCACAGAAACTGTCTGCGGGCAAATGCTGGCTCCCTCAGCTAGGAAATGGAGATGAGCACCCCCCAAGAGTCAGACATGACTGGACATTAATGTCATGGGGAAACCTTTTTAAAGTTGTACAAGTTGGTGCCCATCCCCATATTTTGTGGTAGCAAATTGCACAGCTTAACTATGCACTGAGTGAAAAAGTTTCTTCCTTTTATTTATCCTGAATATCCCACCACTGAGCTTCATTAGATGGCCTGGGTCATAAGGAAAGAGATGACTGAGAGTTTGACTATCTCTGATCCAAAAGAAGACAAAACAAAGAGATGCATTAAGCCTCCTTGTATGGGCATCCAATTATGAACCAGAATTCTAGAGAAACCTGGCTTACTCATGAGCAGCATATGTACCTGCATAGCACCTTCTTACTCCCACCTGGCTCTCCAAACCAGAAAGGGCAGCTTATGAATATTACACTCAAAGCCAGGAATTGTAAATTTAAAACAAACCCTGAATTGTTATTCTGGCTTATCTGGAGAGTAACAAACTGGGAGCTGAGTTTGAACATAATGTAATTATTTTCTGCTGGTAAGGTCCTGCCTTATTTAGCTGTGCTGAGGGGAAACAATGTGAGAGTGAAACTGGGTTTGTGTCTACCACATCCCACCATGTCCTTCTCCTCTTGAAGTTACTCAACATATGTGAGAAAAACATATGTGTGAAGCAGCTCACAGAATTCTTCCAAAACATCAGTAAAGTTGGTAGGACTCCTTTCACAGAAACTCTCCCTTCTGTTTAGAGATTACTTTGGAGTATTTAGTCCTGTTTGGGTGGATGTTGAGAGACTTGTGTTAATGTTTCAACTCCAGCTTGCTTTATTCAGTGTTCTTACTTTACTCCTGTTCTTACTTTAATTGTTATTTTTATTTGTTATTCTGTTTGGCATACTGTAAGAATGTTTACCTATAATATATTATAATAAAACAAAGAATAAAGTACTTCCAGTTCTTACTTGGTACAAAGATGGTCATTCAAGCAACATGTCTCAAACCATTTAGATCCAAGAAATAGCCAGCACTATGTATTTTCCCCAACAGCATATACATTTGTTTTTACTTCATGTATTTATGTTATTGTTTTTATTTTGACTTTCTGCAAAAACAACAAAGTCTCCACACAAAACTTAAAAACAATAAAGTGTGACATCATGAAAACATTTACTCTATCAGTTAAAGTATTAAAGCATAAAAGTCATCAAAAGCATTAAACAACAATAAAAAATAACATAAACGGCCAAGTTAAAGGTAGAAAAGGTGAAAATTGATTGTAATCTCAAAGGGAGTGTATTCTACAATTTTGGAGTGATGTAGGGGTAAGTCTTCCCTGCCCATTAAGTAGGTTTCTACAATGGCTGAAACAATATGCAGATTGTCAGCATGCCTCTGGGGATTCTGGGACTTGCAGTAACCTTTCTAAGTGACTCCTAGCTCAGATCACAAACTGCTTTTAAAAGGCTGCCAGATTTCAATGCGGCAGGGAGATGATCCTAATCTAGAAACACAAACCCAACACTCTCTTGTGTGTCTAGAACCATCTGGATCCCCATCACTGGGATAGTACTGCTGAGAGAAAATAAAGAACTTAAGAAAGTATTTGATAAGTAGCCTCCCCTAAAAAAAAAAAAAGTATGGCGGCAAAAAAGAAAAAAGATTTTGCAACATTTAACTATTGTCTTTTCTCTTTTATCAATATGCAGTTTTAACTGCCAAGTTTCCATTGTTAAATATATTTTCAAGCAGTACACAAAGCAGTACTTTCACTAAGCTATTCAATTTTAAAAGTGTGGATTTCCTACTTACTAACAGTCATTTTGAGCAAATCAGGACACGCCTGCAAGCACTCCAGTTGTCCAACATGTGATGTCATTTCACACAAAAGATCAAGCAGCTGTATTGTGACTAGCGCTTCCTATGAGAAGAAGGCTAAGAGTTTGAAACCAAACAAAGTTCCCCCACTTCCCCAGAAATATTAAGCTACAATAAAAACATCAAGAATTCAGTATCCTAATAACATATCTTCCACTTCTTAAAAACAGAAATTTCCAGCTCCTTAGGATGGAAAAATAAGGATGACTACTAAAATCTCAAGAGCCAAAAACTTGCTATTTTCATAAAAATGAACACACTGGGCTACAAATATCTTATTCAGGTCAAAATCATAAATGTAGTATTAACATATCCATATTATTTATTCAGCTGGAGAACAACTTCTTACCTAGCTCCAGTAGTACATACAACTTTTGAATTTAATTAGGGATTGCACTGACATACCCCTGTATCATTTGGATTAAACTACCACATTCCCAAGATCTTTTCTAACCAAGAAGTGTTAATCTATACCAGGGGTTCCTAAACTACAGCCCACAGGCTACATGCAATTCCCAAGGTCTTTCCAAACAACTTGTTTACTGCTATCACCCTCAAGGCATTTTCCCTCAGATACACATTGTTCTTCCTGCCTCAAGCAGCACCATCTACTGCTGTTTCTCCTGTCCCCCCCCCCTTTTTTTAACAAAAATCACAATAGAAACACTGTTTCTTCTGGCCTCCATGGTTCCTTCTGTTAGCACCTCTTGGTCTTATCTTCCATACTAGCATTTGGCCATTCTGGGTGCTTTGCTAGCCAGCAGAGCTCAGGTACACATACCACTCAGCTTTTTCATTCCCCTTTGCCATTCGTTACCATGTTGAGGGCTATATGTAGAATTAGAGAATTATACATGAATTATATGAACACGTACCAACTATGGAATGTGCTCCCCAGAGAGGTCCACCTGGCGCAGACGTTATACTGTTTCCAGTGCCAGGTAAAGACCTTTTCATTCAACCATCATTTTAATAATCAGGGTTTTAGAAGTTTTAAGATTTTTTCTTCCTCTCCACAGTCACATTTTCTATTCTTTTCCTCTTTTTTCTTTTCTCTTAGTTCATGATGTGTTGTTTTATATTGTTTTAATAATTGAGGTTTTATTATTGTACTACTGTAATTTTCCTCTTCATGGATCACTGCCTTGTCGTGGCGAAGGGGCTTGCGTAACTCAATGAAGCTATGAGCTATGCCGTGCAGGGCCACCCAAGACAGCCAGGTCATAGCAGAGAGCTCTGACAAAACGTGACTCACTGGAGAAGGAAATGGCAACCCACTCCAGTATCTTTGCCATGAAAACCCCATGGACAGTACCAAAAGGCAAAAAGATATGATGCCGGAAGATGAGCCCCTCAGGTCGAAAGGTGTCCAATATGCTACTGGGGAAGAGTGGAGGGCTAGTACTAGTAGCGCCAGAAAGAATGAAGCGACAGGGTCAAAGCCGAAAGGACACTCAGTTGCTGATGTATCTGGAGGTGAAAGGAAAGTCCGATGCTGCAAAGATCAATACTCCATAGGAACCTGGAATGTAAGATCCATGAATCAAGGCAAGCTGGATGTGGTCAAACAAGCCTGAACATCGACATCTTAGGAATCAGTGAACTAAAATGGACAGGAATGGGTGAATTTAACTCAGATGACCATCAGGTATACTATTGTGGGCAAGAATCCCTCAGAAGAAATGGAGTAGCTTTCATAGTCAATAAAAGAGTAGGAAAAGCAGTACTGGGATACAGTCTCCAAAACGACAGAATGATCTCGGTTCAAATCCAAGGAAAACCATTCAATATCACAATAATCCAAGTATATGCCCCAACCACTGGTGCTGGAGAGGCTGAAGTTGACTGGTTCTATGAAGGCCTACAACACCTTCTAGAATTAACACCAAAAAATGATGTCCTTATCATCATGGGGGATTGGAATGCTAAAGTAGGAAACCAAAAGATAGCCAGAATAACAGGCAAGTTTGGCCTTGGAGTACAAAATGAAGCAGGGCACAGGCTAGTAGAATTTTGTCAAGAGAATACGATGGTCATAGCAAACACTCTTTTCCAACAACCCAAGAGATGACTCTACACATGGACATCACCAGATGGTCAACACAGAAATCAGACTGACTATGTGCTCTGCATCCAAAGATGGAGAACAATTGAATGCAGAGAAAGATACAAACAATTGAATGCAGAATTCCAGAGAATAGCTAGAAGAGATAAGAATGCCTTCTTAAATGAACAGTGAAAATAAACAGAAGAAAACAATAGAATAGGGAGGATCAGAGATCTCTTCAAGAAAATTGGAGATATGAAGGGAACATTTCATGCAAAGATGGGCATGATAAAGGACCAAAATGGCAGGGATCAACTAGAGGCAGAAGAGATTAAGAAAAGGTGGCAAGAGTACACAGAAGAACTATACAAGAAAGAGCTTAATGTCCCTGATAACCATGATGGGGTGGTCACTGACCTCGAGCCAGACATCCTGGAATGTGAAGTCAAATGGGCCTTAGGAAGTCTGAGCAACAACAAAGGTCAGTTTACATTCCGATCCCAAAGAAGGGCAACGCCAAAGAATGTTCAAACTACCGCACCATTGCACTCATTTCACACGCTAGCAAAGTTATGCTCAAAATCCTACAAACTAGGCTCCAGCAGTATGTGGACCGAGAACTCCCAGAAGTACAGGCAGGATTTCGAAGAGGGAGAGGAACTAGAGATCAAATTGCCAACATACGCTGGATCATGGAGAAAGCTAGGGAGTTCCAGAAAAATATCTACTTCGCTTCATTGACTATGCTAAAGCCTTTGATTGTGTGGATCACAACAAACTGTGGCAAGTTCTTAAAGAGATGGGAATACCAGACTATCTTATTTGCCTCTTGACAGTGAGAACTGGACACGGAACCACTGATTGGTTCAAAATTGAGAAAGGAGTTCTGCAAGGCTGTATACTGTCGCCCTACCTATTTAACTTATATGCAGAGCACATCATGAGAAAGGCGGGGCTAGATGAATCACAAGTTGGAATTAAGATTGCCAGGAGAAATATCAACAACCTCAGATATGCAGATGATACCACTCTCATGGCAGAAAGTGAAGAGGAACTAAAGAGCCTCTTGACGCGGATGAAGGAGGAGAGTGCAAAAGTCGGCTTGAAACTCAACATTAAGAAAACTAAGATCATGGCATCCGGTCCTCTCACTTCCTGGCATGTAGATGGGGAAGAAATGGAGGTAGTGAGAGATTTTATTTTCCTGGGCTCCAAGATCACCGCAGACGGGGACTGCAGCCAAGAAATCAAAAGACGCTTGCTCCTGGGCAGGAAAGCTATGGCAAATCTAGACAGCATACTAAAAAGCAGGGACATCACCCTGCCAACAAAAGTGCGTATAGTCAAGGCTATGGTTTTCCCAGTTGCAATGTATGGCTGTGAAAGCTGGACCATAAGGAAGGCTGAGCGCCAAAGGATTGAGGCCTTTGAATTATGGTGCTAGAGGAAACTCCTGCGAGTCCCTTGGACCGCAAGGCGATCAAACCAGTCAGTGCTAGAGGAGATCAACCCAAGACTGCTCTTTAGAAGGCCAAATACTGAAGATGAAACTCAAATACTTTGGCCACCTAATGAGAAGGAAGGACTCCCTGGAGAAGAGCCTAATGTTGGGAACAATAGATGGCAAAAGAAAAAGGGGATGGCAGAGGATGAGGTGGCTAGATGGAGTCACTGAAGCAGTTGGTGTGAGCTTAAGTGGACTCTGGGGGATGGTGGAGGACAGGAAGGCCTGGAGGAATGTTGTCCATGGGGTCGCGATGGGTCGGACACGACTTCGCGACTAACAACAACATTGTAATTTTATATTGTGTATGCCATCCTTAGCACTTGTTGGAAAGATGGGATATAAATCTTTTAAATAAATAAATAAATAAATAAATAAATAAATAAATTTGTGAAAGGAATGTAAAACAGCTGAGTGAATGGGTAGAGGAGCTGTTTGCCTGACCTTCTGTGCTTTCTGACTCAGAATGGATTGAGAATCTTACCTTATCAGCTTCATTTGTTGCAGAAGCCAATTTCAGCACAGCATGACATTTCTCCTCAAAACAGCATGCAAGAAATCTGGCAATTTCTTTATTCATGACTGAATCATTTTCATTCATTTCTGGTAATATTAATTCTAAGAACTTAGTCCTGGAATGAAAAAGCACACCTTGCTTGCTGACATTGACATAGCTTGGAATAACTGAAGACTGCAGAGACAGCACAGCTATCATCAGTTACCAGTACAAAACAATGCATGGCCCACATAATGACTGAATAGTTTAAAGCATTAATCCTTTATTTTTCAAGACCAAGGCCTGTCTTATATTCCAAAATGCAATACATTTCCACTAATTTTTTTTAATATGGGGAAGGTAATTCTATGCTCCCTACACACATTTATGTGTTTGTTCCTTAATATGTATATTACACATTCAAACAAATATATTCTTTTTTCCCTTCTCCCTCTGTCCTTCCATCATATATTTTTTCTTTTCTTTCCCTCCAAACTGGTACAGCTATCTTAAGTAGGGTGGCTATAAGCATAGCAATCATTAGGGAAACTAGCAACCCAAGAACCAAGGACCAATTTTGTTGCTACTTTGCTTCATTTTACATTTCTAGCACTTTTGCCAAAACTAAAAAGGGCAGTTGACATTTTAAATCTACCAACTGTTTGATATAAAACCAGCAGGAACTTTAAAAGTTGCACAATGCATGAAAAAATTAATAGGACATCTTTTGAATATTCACTGTATTAATAGCCAAGAGAGCCTTGGCAACTGGGTGCTTTAAAAATGAATTAAATAAATAAATCAGTATCATAGTTCCTCCCAGACCCATTTCAGACAGATGTCTCAGAAGAATACCAAGGCTGAAGATCTAGTTGAAAAACTCCTTCAGTCAATGAGAGATCTAGCAAAACTGAAAGAGACAACTTCCCCTGACCAGTTTCAAGTATAGATTGACTTCCACAGAACCGAAACAATTTCTGACCCATAACTGGGCCTGAAGCATTATTAAAATAGATAATTAGCATCATCCAGGAATCCTAAACTTGCTCATTCTCTAGCAACTTGCCAACCACCTTCGATCATAATACATGCAGACATAATGAAAACAAACAGCCATGTGAAATAATTATTTTCATCTAATCTTCACTGAGAAACAATTTCCACATTGCCCTTTTAATGATGGTACAAATGTATTCATGCAAGATTAAGTGAGTGACAGTCAGGTTAGTGAAAGAGATATCTGTCATGTAACTTGAGCAGCAAAGTCGCTGTAGCATTCTATCCTTTCAAATGGGCCTGACAAATACAGTTCTCTCATTCAATACAGAACACACTATAACAATTACATCTGATTAATATGGACAGAGCAGTTCTTGGGAAACAAAACAGCTTAACTGTACATTATTACAAGCATATTACATTATGATGAGCACTGGACATTGGGGTATATTTCCAATGCACAGGGGAAAAGAAAGTGGCATGGAAGAGATGTTAGCCTTTATAACCAAAGTCTTGGAGGAAGAGTTTGGCTGACTGTTGCGAAATAAACTGAAAGCTGCAAATATTAATGTTATCCAACTGCAAAAGCATAACTGGGTAAGTAAACTGTAATTTTTAATTAGAGAAACCAATATTTTTCAGCATGTATCTTTTCCTTCTTTTTTTTTAACCTCTGTTTACAGAAAGTGTTTGGAAGATCCAGCTTACCATAGAAGACAGCATTTGCATCTATTTGTTAAGGTCAAGCTGTTTTCTCACCCACCTCAATACCGCATCTGTCCTTTTCTACCCATATGACTCAGTCAGCTGCAAAGGATACCTAAGTAAGGCTGTCACCCTTGTGGTGAAATGTATCCCTTTTTGTCTCCATTTGAGACAATAAGACTCCTATGGTCTAGTTTACAAAGTCAAATTTTTGGGCCAACAAATGGCCATCATTAAATTTTACTGCCACTAACCCCATTTTCCTACCTTGGTCTCTGCCCACAGGGACAATCTGCTGTATATAACTAGAATTCCACAATTTAAAAAAATGAGTTCTATAATGAGAAATTATATAACAAAGTTTAACTTAGTTTTACTTTAATATTAAGCAATATTATTTATTTAATTAATTAATTTAAACCCTTTATATCCCGTCACCACATGCCTCGGCATCTCGAGATGGCTTACAAACGTAGAATATTACTTTTCTTCTACTGCACTACATATATAAAGGAAAACCTTCTACCTTCAACACAGGTGAACAGTAAAAGAAGCAATTTAATCATGCAGACAACAATTGCCATGAAAACAGTCAGAAGTTACAGTGAATTTATCCTGAACTAAAATCAGTTTGGCTCCCTTTCTCATCTATCTGATTTCACAAGACCAATTAAGTGTTTCCATTTCTTGCTAACAAACCTGAGAACCTGGGACAGTTAGGTTCCAAGGCTTATAGCATGATTAGTGCTAAACATAGTTTCTTCTTATGTCTGTAAAGAGATGAAAGTCTGGGTAAAATTATAGCCCCCTTCCACAATATTCTAATATCAAAAGAGTGCACTTGATCACCACTTACGCATTGCAACATACTCCTTTTTGTATGTTTGCTTTTTTCTATGCTGAATTTGCATGTGAGGGTATAGACACAAACTCTTATCACCATTTGTAAAAACACTGATTATGTTTCTCTTTTGTTATTAGGTGAAACAGAGCTGATCTTGTTTTCTGCATATCTGCTCTGTATTCCTTTCTTTCCCCCTTAACTATTAAATGATGGTACACATTGGACCATAAAAAGCAGCAGGGTGCAGTTGTTATGAAAAATCATCAAAAGCATAAAATCTTCCCTTTATCATCTATTTCACTCTTTCTCTCTGCAATTCTATAAAAAGTAAGGGCGCCAACCTGGATTCTGCAACTCCTATCTAAATCCCTGCCAGTTGTGGCTAAACTGTAATGTTAACCAACCAATTTAAAACCATTACTGACATAGAAACATGTATTTAGAGATTCTGTGCCAACTATGAAACCACAGGGTTTTTTTCAAATCATGTGAACAGGATACTCTTATATGGAATGCTAAATGCTAAAACCCACATTGGTTTTTGGGGTTACCTTTCTTGATTGCTCAGTTTGGCATACATGGCATTGACCAACTCCGGGCACTTCAGCAAATGGTTGGTAACAATCAAGAACCTGAAAGGAGAGAAAGAATTGCTCTTGGTTACAAGAAAACTGCAAAGTTAGCTACTTTGCACTTTATTAATTCAGTTCACACTAGTATTTTACAATAGTTGGTCATTAATGAAGCTATATTTATGTAAAATTTTTGTATGCCATCCCTTATGCATGGCATCTCGGGACGGCTTACAATCATTAAAACAACAACAATAGAACAGCTATAAATAACAATTAACCAAAAATACAATTAAATAAGTTAAATAAAATCGAATGTTAAACATTAAATTTTTAAACTAGTTTTTAAAATAACAGTTAAATAAAAAGGTTTTAACCTGGCGCCGAAAAGAATATAAACTCAGAGCCAGATGCACCTCTCTGGGGAGCGCATTCCATATTCCATAGGTATGTATGTATGTATGTATGTATGTATTTATTTATTTATTTATGTGAAACACTTATATGCCACCCCATTCACAAAAGCCCTGGGGCAGCTTCCAATGCAAATAAATAACTTTACAATTACATAAAAATACATAAAAATCTGGAGACATCCCGACATAAATATAAAATCAATCAATAAATTCAACAATTAAAATGACGTTTAAATAGAAAGGTCTTGGCCTGGCGCTGAAAAACAAATAACGACAGCTCCAGGCGGACCTCTCTGGGGAGCGCATTCCATAAGTGGGGCGCCACCACAGAGAAGGCCCTCCTCTGGGTACTCACCCTCCTAATATCTTTCACGGAGGGTTCCCAGAGAAGAGCCTCTGCCGCCGATCTCAAGGGGCGGGAGGGCAGATATGGACACAAGCGCTCCTTTAGATAACCAGGTCCCAAGCCGTTAAGGGCTTTATAGGTGATAACCAGCACCTTGAATTGGGCCCGGACTTCAATGGGAAGCCAGTGAAGCTGATGGAAGACTGGGGTTATATGAGAACAACGCCCAGTCCCCGTCAGCAACCTGGCAGTTCTATTTTGCACCAACTGAAGTATCCGGACCGTCTTCAAGGGCAGCCCCACGTAGAGCGCATTACAGAAGTCTAATCAGGAAGTTACCAATGCATGTGTCACTGTCGCCAGGCAATCGTTCTCCAGGTAGGGACACAGCTGATGGATCAGCCAAAGCTGAAGGAAAGCACTCCTCACCAGTGCTGTCACCTGAGCGTCTAACGATAGCTCTGGGTCGAGGAACACTCCCAAGCTATGAACACTGTCCTTAGAGGGAGTGCAACCCCATTCAGGACAAGGTCCAGGTCCCCTACCCCGAAGCCTGACTCACCTACCAACAGGACCTCCATCTTGTTTGGATTGAGCTTCAGTTTATTGGCCCTCATCCAGCCAATTACGTCGGCCAGGCACTGGTTCAGTACAGCCACTGGTTCAGTACAGCCACTGCCTCACCTGGATTGGTTGAGAAAGAGAGGTAGAGCTGGGTATCATCACCGTACTGATGATTCCACAGCCCACACCTCCTAATGACCTCTCCCAGCGGTTTCGTGTAGATGTTGAATAGCAAGGGGGGCAAAATGGATCCATGGATCCAAGGGGAGCAAAATAGCTGCCATGGCGCAGAACCATAGTCCACCAGCACCACCTTCTGGAATCGGCCATTGCGATAGGAGCAGAACCACTGCCAAGCAGTGCCTCCTACTCCCAATCCCACCAGCCTATCCAGAAGGATACCATGGTCGATGGTATTGAAAGCTGCTGAGAGGTCCAGGAGGACCAACAGGGACGCACTCCCCCTGTCTCTCTCCTTGCACAGGTCATCATACAGGGCGACCAAGGCAGATTCAGTACCATACCCGGGTCTGAAGCCGGACTGAAATGGGTCCAGATAATCAGTCTCATCCAAGAGTGCCTGGAGTTGTCCCGCCACCACCCACTCTAACACCTTGCCCAGGAACGGGATGTTGGCCACCAGTCTATAATTGGTGGCCATCTCTGGATTCAGAGATGCCTTCTTTAGGACTGGCTGGACTACCGCCTTCTTTAAAGGGGCAGGTACCCAGCCGTCCCTCAGAGAGGCGTTGACAACCTGCAGGATCCAGGCCCCTATCCCGTGCTTGGCTTTGTTAAGGAGCCAAAATGGGCAAGGGTCCAATAAGCAGGTGGTGGGACATACTTGTCCAAGCACCTTGTCCACATCATCAGGCCGCAATAACTGGAACTCATCCATCAATTTTGGACCAGACGGCAACATTAGCACCTCCCCTGAAGGCTCTGAATCAGTAGTGGAGTCCAGCTTGTGACAAATCTGAGCGATTTTCTCCTTAAAATGCTTGGCAAAGTCATCACAGCGGGCCATCGAGGGCGGTACAGGATCTTCCTTGGGGCCCAGATGAACCAGCCCCTGTACCACCCGGAAGAACTCCGCTGGATGGCATTGTGAGGAGGCAATGGAAGCGGAGAAGGATTTCTTTTTCGCCACCCTCACCGCTACAGCATAGGCTCAATATTGAGCTCTCAAGTGTGTTCGGTCAGATTCATCCCGTGATTTCCCCCACCTATGCTCTAGACCTCTCCCAACCCGCTTCATCGCCTGTAATTCAGGTGTATACCAGGGGGATGAACGGGCTCTGCCAGGTGGGAGAGGACGCTTAGGAGCAATTGTGTCAATAGCCCTGGTCATTTTCCCATTCCACAGTTCCACCACAGCATCGACAGGAGCACCAGCTTTATCAACTGGAAAATCCCCCAGGGCCTTCAGGAATCCATCTGGATCCATCCGGTTCTGGGGAAAGACCAACACAATCGGGTCCGCACCCTTACAGAGGGAAAGGCCACTCTCGAGCTCAAACCTCACAAGGAAGTGATCTGACCATGACAGGGGAGTCAGACATAAATTCCTCACCCTCAGATCCCCCTCTTCCTGCCCCATTGAGAAAACCAGGACCAGAGTGTGTCCACGTTCATGGGTCGGACCGATGACATGTTGAGACAGCCCCATAGCCGTCATAGAGGCTATGAAGTCCTGAGCCGCCCCCAGTTAGAACTGTCTCGGTGTGGAGATTAAAGTCCCCAGGACCAACATCCTGGGAGTCTTCAACACCAGGTCTGATACGATCTCCGTCAGCTCAGGCAGGGAGACTGCTGGGCAGAAGGGTGCATGGTACACCAACAGAATCCCCAATCTGTCTCAGTTGCCCAACACCAAAGAGAGGCACTCTAGACCTGGCCTCGAGAGAACAGAAAGCCCTGTGAGGGAGAAGGAAGCTCGGTAACCTAAAACGACCCCTCCTCCCCTCCAGACATGGCCGGTGCTGGACCAGATACCTGGGCCATGAGAGAGGGAGACATCCCCCCCTCTCCCGCCCAAGTCTCTGTGATGCAAGCCAGGTTGGCCCCCTCATCCACAATTGTGGATGAGGGATGATTTATTATGGACCAACCTGGCATTAAGCAACAACACCGACAGGCCCGGGGGGTGGTTGAGAAGCCTACCTGGAACCCTCCGGCTGGGGGAAGAACCAGAAGGAGGAACAGGTGTCAACCATCTGTCCCTCCTTCTTCTACATGGACTCGTTAGACACCCAACCCCATAACGGCCATTGTCCATGACCACCCCAATGGTGGCGCCCACGCACCCCAGGCAACCCCATAACCATAGCCGGAGATGAATCCATTAAAAATTAGACTAAAAGCACGTTAAAAATCCTTAAAAACTCCCCCTCAACCACCCAGTACAAAATTACAATTTACAATTCCCACCAGCCAGCCAACTAACAAAGTCCCTGGCCAGCCCAGCCCCCGCATGGTCCCAAACGGTTCCAAATGGCGACGACCGCCCTTAGGCCATCGCCCTTCGACTGCCAGGCCGAGGTCTCCAGCTCCGGCCACGTCCAGCGAGATATGCCAGTGGCTCGTCCCCGTGCCCTGCCCCCAATCCGGTGTATCTCTCACCCATGCCGGTGGGGGAGGGGGCAAGGGTGGCCCCACAGCACTCGCCAGCAAGTTGGCATCCCCGGTGTCTGTCCACGGGCAATATCTGGCCCGCAGTCTGGCTGCAGCGTCCTCCAGCCCCCGGGTCCAGCGATGGCCGCCATCAGCAGCATCAGCTGTCCCAGGTCTGGCAGGTGCGCTTGCGGAGTCCTCGGCGGCGGCACGGCACGGCGGCAGGTGGTGATGGGGATGCCCAGTTCTGGCCCCGGCCCAGCCGTCTCTGGCGAGATATGCCAGCAGCTCATCCCCGCCCCCCGCCCCCAGTCCAGCGTAGCTCTCACCCACGCCAGTGGGGGAGAGGGCAAGGGTGGCCACAACGTAATGTTTACATTGAACATTATAGGGAAATTTGACTTGGCTCATGACCAATTTGGGTTGCAACCAGAGTTGTGGAATGGATTAAGTTCGTGAGCCAAGGTGCCACTGTAGTTCCAGGGGTTGTAACCTCATAGAAGAGTTGTTCAAACCCCTTGATCATTCAGTTGGTCTTTCTTGCTCCTTTTCCAACACTATCTATCTGTCAATCCATCCATCCATCCATCCTTTATTTGGTCATTGACCAGCCAATAAAACACAAAATTGCAATTAGTTAAAATAAGGAAACTCTTTTCTGCTCCTTCTCCAACTCTATAATTAATAGCCTTTTTGAAACGTCATGTTAAAACTGTAAACAATATTCCAAGTGTACAAGAGATTTAGATATGCACAGTACAATAATTGCAAATTAATTTTTATTTTCTCTCTTTTCTTCCCCATTTATTTTTTTTAGACAAAAGAACCCATAAATGCAATACATCACAACAATAATAACAAAAACACAAAAATTAAAGTAAATAATAAAGTGCCCCCACTTTCCCGGAGACCAATGCTACCACCATTCACATACTGTAACAATTAATAATACTTCAATTATTTCCATATCCCCTCCAGAAATTCATATAATCTTGACTGGGTTTACAGCCTTTGCCTTCTATCAGTACTGCTTTTACAAAATCTTCCCAAATTACATTATATTTATTTGCTTTCATTAACTCTCTTTTAATTTTTATTTCTGTCATCAACTTATCATTAAT